AGCTGCCTCGTATGGACCAATAGCAGCTGCCTCATATGGACCAATAGGAACTGCCTCGTATGGACCAATAGCAGCTGCCTCGTATGGACCAATAGCAGCTGCCTCGTATGGACCAATAGCAGCTGTCTCATATGGACCAATAGGAACTGCCTCGTATGGACCAATAGCAGCTGCCTCGTATGGACCAATAGCAGCTGCCTCGTATGGATCAATAGCAGCTGCCTCATATGGACCAATAGCAGCTGCCTCGTCTGGACCAATAGAAGCTTACTCGTATGGGCCAATAGGCCTTCTGCAGTTACCTTTGTTCTTATGTTCGTATGGACCAATAGCAGCTGCCTCGTATGGACCAATAGCAGCTGCCTCATATGGACCAATAGCAGCTGCCTCGTATGGGTCAATATATTTTTCGCAGGTTCCTCAATTTTTATCACGGAGACAAAAGAACAACGATGTTCTGGTTAGGTGCATTAGAGGTTTTCTATGCTAATGCAAAAAATAATAATATTAATAATTAAATACTGAATTTTTCGTATTTCTGAAGTGTGTAGGATTTGTTTCATACAACGAATGATTCTACGTAACCGCAGGCGCTCATAATACGTATTCATAGTTCCAGTTACGGTCAGAAACCATCTTCTCCAACCACAACAGTCTGAAGGTTAGAAACCGTGTAGAGAAGCGAGGATCAGAAGTTTATGACGCTCCCTCCTAATTTTTAGAAAATAGTCCTAATAGAAACTCCTAATTTTTAGAAAATAGTCCTAATAGAAACTCCTAATTTTTAGAAAATAGTCCTAATAGAAACTCCTAATTTTTAGAAAATAGTCCTAATAGAAACTCCTAATTTTTAGAAAATAGTCCTAATAGAAACTCCTAATTTTTAGAAAATAGTCCTAATAGAAACTCCTAATTTTTAGAAAATAGTCCTAATAGAAACTCCTAATTTTTAGAAAATAGTCCTAATAGAAACTCCTAATTTTTAGAAAATAGTCCTAATAGAAACTCCTAATTTTTAGAAAATAGTCCTAATAGAAACTCCTAATTTTTAGAAAATAGTCCTAATAGAAACTCCTAATTTTTAGAAAATAGTCCTAATAGAAACTCCTAATTTTTAGAAAATAGTCCTAATAGAAACTCCTAATTTTTAGAAAATAGTCCTAATAGAAACTCCTAATTTTTAGAAAATAGTCCTAATAGAAACTCCTAATTTTTAGAAAATAGTCCTAATAGAAACTCCTAATTTTTAGAAAATAGTCCTAATAGAAACTCCTAATTTTTAGAAAATAGTCCTAATAGAAACTCCTAATTTTTAGAAAATAGTCCTAATAGAAACTCCTAATTTTTAGAAAATAGTCCTAATAGAAACTCCTAATTTTTAGAAAATAGTCCTAATAGAAACTCCTAATTTTTAGAAAATAGTCCTAATAGAAACTCCTAATTTTTAGAAAATAGTCCTAATAGAAACTCCTAATTTTTAGAAAATAGTCCTAATAGAAACTCCTAATTTTTAGAAAATAGTCCTAATAGAAACTCCTAATTTTTAGAAAATAGTCCTAATAGAAACTCCTAATTTTTAGAAAATAGTCCTAATAGAAACTCCTAATTTTTAGAAAATAGTCCTAATAGAAACTCCTAATTTTTAGAAAATAGTCCTAATAGAAACTCCTAATTTTTAGAAAATAGTCCTAATAGAAACTCCTAATTTTTAGAAAATAGTCCTAATAGAAACTCCTAATTTTTAGAAAATAGTCCTAATAGAAACTCCTAATTTTTAGAAAATAGTCCTAATAGAAACTCCTAATTTTTAGAAAATAGTCCTAATAGAAACTCCTAATTTTTAGAAAATAGTCCTAATAGAAACTCCTAATTTTTAGAAAATAGTCCTAATAGAAACTCCTAATTTTTTTATTTTTTTTATTTTTCAAGGTAACCTCCCTGGGGCTATCATATCTTGAGATGATTTCGGGGCTTAGCGTCCCCGCGGCCCGGTCCTCGACCAGGCCTCCTTTTTGTTATATATCCCCAGGAAGCAGCCCGTAGCAGCTGTCTAACTACCAGGTACCTATTTACTGCTAGGTGAATAGGCGCATCAGGGTGAAAGAAACCATGCCCATGTGTTTCCGCCTCTACCGGGGGATCGAACCAAGAACCTCAGGACTACGAATCCGAAGCGCTGTCCACTCAGCCGTCAGGCCCCTCTGTGAAGTATCCAGGAGCGTGTTGGATAACTTCTATAACTTCCCGTGGATAATGTTCTATAACTTCCCGTGGATAATGTTCTATAACTTCCCGTGGATAATGTTCTATAACCCCCGTGGATAATGTTCTATAACCCCCGTGGATAATGTTCTATAACTCCCCGTGGATAATGTTCTATAACTCCCCGTGGATAATGTTCTATAACCCCCGTGGATAATGTTCTATAACCCCCGTGGATAATGTTCTATAACTCCCCGTGGATAATGTTCTATAACTCCCCGTGGATAATGTTCTATAACTCCCCGTGGATAATGTTCTATAACTCCCCGTGGATAATGTTCTATAACTCCCCGTGGATAATGTTCTATAACTTCCCGTGGATAATGTTCTATAACCCCCGTGGATAATGTTCTATAACCCCCGTGGATAATGTTCTATAACTATAACCCGTGGATAATGTTCTATAACTCCCCGTGGATAATGTTCTATAACTCCCCGTGGATAATGTTCTATAACCCCCGTGGATAATGTTCTATAACCCCCGTGGATAATGTTCTATAACCCCCGTGGATAATGTTCTATAACCCCCGTGGATAATGTTCTATAACCCCCGTGGATAATGTTCTATAACCCCCGTGGATAATGTTCTATAACCCCCGTGGATAATGTTCTATAACCCCCGTGGATAATGTTCTATAACTCCCCGTGGATAATGTTCTATAACTCCCCGTGGATAATGTTCTATAACTCCCCGTGGATAATGTTCTATAACTCCCCGTGGATAATGTTCTATAACTCCCGTGGATAATGTTCTATAACTTCCCGTGGATAATGTTCTATAACTTCCCGTGGATAATGTTCTATAACTCCCCGTGGATAATGTTCTATAACTTCCCGTGGATAATGTTCTATAACTTCCCGTGGATAATGTTCTATAACTCCCCGTGGATAATGTTCTATAACTTCCCGTGGATAATGTTCTATAACTTCCCGTGGATAATGTTCTATAACTTCCCGTGGATAATGTGGATAATGTTCTATAACTCCCCGTGGATAATGTTCTATAACTCCCCCCGTGGATAATGTTCTATAACTCCCGTGGATAATGTTCTATAACTTCCCGTGGATAATGTTCTATAACTCCCCGTGGATAATGTTCTATAACTCCCCGTGGATAATGTTCTATAACTCCCCGTGGATAATGTTCTATAACTCCCCGTGGATAATGTTCTATAACTCCCCGTGGATAATGTTCTATAACTTCCCGTGGATAATGTTCTATAACTTCCCGTGGATAATGTTCTATAACTCCCCGTGGATAATGTTCTATAACTCCCCGTGGATAATGTTCTATAACTCCCGTGGATAATGTTCTATAACCCCCGTGGATAATGTTCTATAACTTCCCGTGGATAATGTTCTATAACTTCTATAACCCTGTGGACAATGTTCTATAATCCCAGTGAATAATGTTCTATAACTCCCCGTGGAAAATGTTCTATAACTTCTATAACTCCCCGTGGATAATGTTCTATAACTTCTATAACTCCCCGTGGATAATATTCTCTAACTTCTATAATCTCCCCGTGGACAATGTTCTATAACTTCTATAACTCCCCGTGGATAATGTTCTATAACTTCTATAACTCCCCATGGATAATATTCTATAACTTCTATAACCCTCCCGTGGATAATGTTGGATAACATCCTGGTGTCCTCACCAGCAGCTGACCAGCCCCAGCGCACTGGGAGAGAGAGAGAGAGAGAGAGAGAGAGAGAGAGAGAGAGAGAGAGAGAGAGAGAGAGAGAGAGAGAGAGAGAGAGAGAGAGAGAGAGAGAGAGAGGATAACGGAGAGTATTCATTAGTGTAGGCCAAATTTATGTCAATTTTTAACGCATGCAAGCAGAACTCGGCAAGAAGGAACTCCCAATAAACGCCTGCAAGAAATGTTAGGATAACAGGAGAGAGAGAGAGAGAGAGAGAGAGAGAGAGAATATAGGATAATAATAAACTTGCGAACATGAAAGCGAGGTGTTAGCGGATAATAACGTGTGCGATAAATATTGAGGAAATAGTGATAGATGAGCAGGAGAGGTTAGGAATGGTCAATAAAGATTTGGTGGGGGAGGATAGATAGAGTGGTGGAATATGGTTGAGAGAGTGTGTGTTATCCTATATAGTTTTATAAGCGTCTTTATATCTGGCTGACAATATGGGTCAGTATATCATGTACTATAACCCCCCCCCCCCTCGCGAGCATCAATATACTCGCCTATATCGCCGCATTGATGATTCTTTTACGGTATTCTCAGCGGCGGTTTATACAGATGATTGGAAATTAGGTATATTAGAAATCACAAATTTAGTGTTATGTTAATTACGTACCTAATGTGTTATATCATAATAACCCGGCAATTATAACACATTTAGCACTTGCAAATCGTTTTAATCATTTACTAAAAATGCTTCAAAGTATTGATCATGGCAAGATTTGATGCATGGCTTTATAGCGAGGGGGCGTTTAACATTTTCTTTGTCGCGGACAAGATAAATCTTTCAAATAATACCAGCTATGATGTGACAGATCTCAGAGGCCACGTGTGTAACAACGTCGAAGTTATCAGCGTAAAACAGTTGGGTAGTAGTGAGCGCTGAAGGGTATTAGGACCTCGGCGAGGAAGTGGTCTTGGCGCAGATGTAGTGTGAGGATTGTGTTTTCCCGGGCGGCGCGCGGCGCGGGGCTCAGTCACCCCCAGGACACCGTCAGGAGCAGACTGTATCACCTCCTCCCTGCTCTTACTCCCCCCCTTTTCCCCTCAACTTTTCACTGGAGGGTTTCCTTGCGTCGGCAAGAAGGCGGCCGAAGAGCAATTCATTTCCTGGATTTTCTTTTGGTTTAACTACCAAAAGTAACTGCTTTTTTAACTAAAACTTTTCCTGGCAATTTGAGTTTTTGATAAAGAAAAATCTATCTGACGGAAATCACATTCCATAGGCATATATACTATGTGTCTATTCAACTATGGAACTAGGAATGACGCAGCAGGTGCAAAGGCCATTAGCCAAATTGTTAAATTCCTCGGTGTTGAAACGTGATATGTTTTAATGTAGAATTCAATTGTGAAAAAATGGGAGTACCTGTCAGGCAGTTATAAGTTATAAAAGGTGATTACTGGTCGTTAGGATGAACCACTCTGACCCGAATGGCTACGAACCCAACTGTACTCTGGCCGACCTCGCGGCTTATGAATTCAACGAATCGGAGTGGGACTCGTTAGGAAATTGGACAGTCGAAGAGGAAGCCAATTTTATGAACTGCTCATACCTGCAGCACATCGTCAACATTAACTGCTCCAACGGGGACTATCTGTGCAGGTGTACGAAAGACGTGTACACCCATTACTGCTCCGGCACCCCAGAATACTACTCCTACGTGTACCGAATCATCGGCACGCTCTTCCAGGGCATCATCTTCATCATCGGAGTCATCGGGAATGTGATGGTGGTGATCGTGGTGGCGAGGAACAAGAACATGGCCACACCCACCAACTGCTACTTGGTGAGCCTGGCCATCGCTGACTGCGCCGTCCTCATCGCTGCTGTCCCGCAAGAGATCGTCAGCTACTACCTCATCGGCAACCACTGGATCTGGGGCCACGTCGGCTGCGCCATCATGATTTTCCTGCAAAATCTAGGCATCAACGCCAGTTCGCTGAGCCTGACGGCCTTCACGGTGGAGCGGTACATCGCCATATGTCACCCGATGAAAGCCCAGACCGTCTGCACGGTGGAACGGGCCAAGAAAATAACATTGGTGGTGTGGGTGTTCGCTGTGTGTTACTGCTCCCCGTGGCTCTACTTGACTACCGTCGTCCCACTGGCCTATGCTGTCGACTACCCCACGCAGGAATGTACCTTCAAGCTCTCTAGAGACCAGTACTTCCTCTACTACTTTCTAGACATCATCGTTTTCTACGTGGTGCCTCTATTGCTGTCTTGCGTACTCTATTCCCTAATAGCCAGGATACTCTTCACGTCTCAAGTGCCCAAGAACCCGACGGTCAACGGCCACCATAATAAGAAAAGAGTCAACTCTCCACGCGTTCAGGTAAACTTAATAACGTAACTTAGTTTGAGGGGCAAATCTAAGCTAGGCTCTGCGACTCTTTAGCAGTACCATAGGCACCACAACATTCTGGGTTCCATTCACTATTTCCATATCTTTTTATCTCTCTCTCTCTCTTTTTGGAGGTAAACTCAGAACCAAGTGCTTAGATTCGGTTGTCTGGTTTACAAGGATAAGACTACCAACTTGACACTTTGGGGCCTCATGGGGAAGAAGAGTAAATTGAGTGAGTAATATTATCATGTGGCTGAGTAGTGTACTCATGTGGGTGATATACTCATGGGTGAGTAATATATTCATGGGCGAGTAATATTCTCATGAGTAATATACTCATATATGGGTGGGTAACATGCTATACTCATATGGATGGATAATTTACTCATATGAGGTGAGTAATGTATACATAATCGGATATATATTCACCTCCTTCAGTCAAATTGAACTCACTTCAACTCTGCTTATGAGAATGTACAATAATGTATAAACTCTTGTATATAAATAAATAAATAAATAATTCAAATAAATGCTGTCAAAGTCAACAAATCGCCAGTTTTAGCGTCATTCCATAATCAAAACTGTCAAGTGACTTTTGGAGAGTTAATTTTTCAACTTCCTTCTCAGATAAAGAAGAATACAAGCAATATATATTATATATATATTATATATATATATATATATATATATATATATATATATATATATATATATATATATATATATATATATAGTTTCGTGATATATAATAGCAATAGAGTTAAAAAAAATCGGTTATCTATATTAAAATTGACTGTATTGTGTACTAAAAATTGTAACTAATTACCGAACAACTTAACAACAGTCACTATAGAGTGATTTGTGCTGTTAACAAGACCAGAGTGAGAAGTTCAAACCATGCAATTATCAATTAATAATAATTATCTGCAATTATTTCAATAATTGTAATTGCGTTACAAAAACAGTGACTCAACCACCACGGTAGAAATAACAACAGTGGACCGTTGCCGGAAATGAACGGTTACTGTTGGCAACAGGACAATTGGTTGTTGGAAAACTGTTTGCATGCAGCTTATGGTAATAAATTCGTGTTGAAATTAAGTGTAGGTATTGGAGCTTATTCGCCTGATTAGCTACGTGCTTTAATGGGTGTTAATTATAAGTCTCACACGCACGGGAATACATATTCATGTTTTCAATCTTACTTCAAGCACACAACCACAAGAGCAATAACGCATAAACAGGGTCATAAACATATATACATGGACGCTTGCAAGTATTCATATATGTATACATGGAGTCACCTAGTCTCTCTCACACACACACACACAAATGGGCAAAGTTTCTTTCACCCTGAATGTCCCTGTTACGTAGCAGTAAATAGGTACCTGGGAGTTAGTCAGCTATCACGGGCTGCTTCCTGGGTGTGTGTGTGTGTGTGTGTGGTGTGGAAAAAAAGTAGTTAGTAAACAGTTGATTGACAGTTGAGAGGCGGGCCGAAAAAGCAAAGCTCAACCCCCGCAAACACAACTAGATGAATACACACACACACACACACACACACACACACACACACACACACACACACACACACACACACACACACACACACACACACACACCCGTGTCCACACACACGCGCGTGCGACTGCACATAAAAAAAACTCTCCAAACTCCAACAACTAACTAATCCTACCTCAGGTAATTACCCAGATTGTTTTAAACAACCTGGCACAAGCAAAACTTTGTACTTCTGTACTCTCTCTCACACTCTCGCACTCTCCTCTCCTCGCCCGCACTCTCTGTCTCTCCTCTCTCTCTCTCTCCTCTCTCTCTCTCTCTCCTCTCTCTCTCCCTCTCTCTCTGTGTCACTGCTTGGAGCAAATCACTGGTTTGAATATTCATTATTGCCTATATTCCTAGAACATATTACTGCGTCTATCATATCGGATCTTTACCATCAATGAGCGTATGAATGTCTTGCGTATTTCACCTCGTATTATCACGTCATGTTGAATATCACTGCTGTGAAGTACAGCATTAAATGGGAAATTACTACATTTATGAATACTCATATATATATATATATATATATATATATATATATATATATATATATATATATATATATATATATATATATATATTATTAGCAGTCTTTTGTTGTAAACATATGTTGTTAAATATGACCGAAAAAGTAAGATTAATAATTCTAACACGAATTTTCTCAATATTTCTTATGTTTCTTTTTACTGTCGATGGTAATTGGAAAATCAATTCTCGATGGTAATGAAAATCAATTAGAATTGATTTTTTTTCCAATTACCATCGACAGTAAAAAGAAACATAAGAAATATTGAGAAAATTCGTGTTAGAATTATTAATCTTACTTTTTCGGTCATATTTAACAACATATGTTTACAAGAAAGACTGCTAATAATATATATATATATATATATATATATATATATATATATATATATATATATATATATATATATATATATATATATATATATATATATATATATATTTTTGGGTCTCCAAAGCTGCTCAACACCTTCAATGTGTATACTATCGAATTGGTCATTAGTGTCCTCTAACTGCGGCGGCCTTGTGAGCTGCATACACAATACCCTGACTGATCAGGACTTAAACCCCTATAGGTCTAGTCCAGACCTGTGGGGGTTTACCGGACGTGTAAATACAACCTGTATTAGATGTAGCAGGCTTGTTAGTGGACACGGTGAGGCCTGAGGAACACGGTGAGGGAACACGGTGGGGGAACACGACAGGGGAACACGACAGGGGAACACGACAGGGGAACACGGCAGGGGAACACGGCAGTGGGGGACACGGTGGGGAACACGGCAGGGGAACACGACAGGGGAACACTACAGGGGAACACGACAGGGGAACACAGCAAGTCCAGAACACCCATCGAAACAGCCTGTTCTAATCTTTCTCCCATTTTCTGTTGCTCACATACTCCTGCTCCATAATATGCCTGAGAGCCGAGGTATAACTCATGTGTACTTTGAAAATATATAAAATTCATCCAAGCTCAATAAAGTGCACATGTGCAAATTTGAGCCTTGCATGAATATGCAGGCAGTGAAACGCCTAATATCAGTTCAGGATATATTATGTATTTACTTAACAAAGTGGTTGTGCTCGCCTTGTAAGCTAACCTGAAAATGAAGTGAAAAATTTCGCAAAAATTTAAAATAAAATTGTGTTTTATTTAAGGTCAACTATTTCTCCGGAGTTGTTTATAAGTACAAGGGTCGATAATGATTGATAATATTATTGTTTTTCAAGTAAAGAATTATTTGCGGGGCTTCTACACTATCTAAAATATCGAGGCAAATAATTGTGTAAGCATTATAATTTAAAACGAAAGTTTTAAAACAACCTCGACTTTTCTTGATTTTCACTCTTTGAAGTCTTTATATAGTCTTCTTAGCTTGACGCCGTCTTTGGGTAATCATTAATACCACTCTTCAAGGCAGCTGAGGGCTTTGATGTACACTAACTGGTGTAAACAGGTGTACCTAAGGGACATACCTCAGACAGCCAGAGAGAGAGAGATTAGCTTCACCTGTAAACAAAGGAGTGTGAGTGTTATTCCCTGGTTGTTTGAGTGAGTGCGTTGAGGCGTGTACAAGTGTGTGTGTGTTGAGTGGGTGTTCCAGCACACTGGTTGGGAGAAAGACCTCTCAGTCACGCGGAATGAGTCCTAAAGTGCGTGTTCCAGTTTAATATTTTATTTTAGCCTAACGACGTTAAGTGTTGTATTAATAAATCCTGAATGATTTAGGTTGTATATTTTTTTGCAGCGTTAAATAATTTAAGATTTTTTTTTAATATATATCTTTCACACACAGACTCTCTGAGACCATTTTTCCTATAGTCTCGCTAACCTCTTCATCCGGCAGCAACCGGTTTTCAAAATCAATGCTGAATTGAATGGAATTTTTTTATCTTAGATTGAATTAAGGGTCAATTAAGAATAGACAGCATCTTACTATACATCTCCCAGACCCAGTTGAAGATGTTTTAAAATATCTGCTTTTAACTTCTCTCAAAATATTTAGATTTAGATTTAATTTTAAAAATCTGACATTGGCATTTTGACGTAATTCTGTGACAACAATACCACGTGTGATTTTTGTTAATTATCAGGTTAAAGCACCAAGCCATTACGACTATATAGCCCTTGGAAGGGGTCAGGATAAGGATTTGGGATGGGACGGGGGAAAGGAATGGTGCCCAACCGCTTGTGGACGGTCGGGGGATTGAACACCGACCTGCATGAAGCGAGACCGTCCAGCCCAAGTGATCACAGATAAACAGTAACCAAACCTGCAGCCATGCAATAACATACACATTCTGGGACATCAATTTATATATATTGCAAGTTAAAACTTTCTCAAACTCTTATCAACCAAATACACTTGAAGAAGGACTACAGCTCCCTCAGCTCGTCTACTCTATACACCACTGCGTCAAAATTGCAACTGTTCTGCCTAACCAGAAACGAAGATAGTACAGTGGTATACTATTTACTACAAAGCTGCATTGTCCGGTTGATTGGGTCGATTCCGTTAAGAATACGACGTTTTAAGGGGACGGGCTGTTGTCGTTTCTCCCCCCCCGGCCCCCCCAAGAGAGGCAGGTATGTAAATATATATATCTGACATTCTCACTTAAGCGTTAGTCAGATATATGACAGTTGGTAACGTTGTTCAGTACTGCTAGTTAGTAACGCTGTGTGACAAAACATGGTGACTTTTAAGGTTATCTTGAGGTTATCTTGAGATGATTTCGGGGCTTTAGTGTCCCCGCGGCCCGGTCCTCGACCAGGCCTCCACCCCCAGGAAGCAGCCCGTGACAGCTGACTAACACCCAGGTACCTATTTTACTGCTAGATAACAGGGGCATAGGGTGAAAGAAACTTTGCCCATTGTTTCTCGCTGGCGCCTGGG